CTCAAGAGAATAATGAATAGGAATTTCAGTGAGAAACACGGCTGACATAGGGATTGAAGAAGACTGAACAGCACCCTCTCCACAATGCAATTCAAGGTCCTCTTACAAATAACAAACATAATAAATAATATACTTAATATACAAGACTGTACGCAAAGGACAAAAACTACTTTCACTCAACTCATCCGTCAGGTAGATTGATTAGAGGTTTTGCCCTTAACTTATTCATGTCCTCAGGTACAGCATTTAGGTTTTATTTGTAGGAACAAGCAAGCACTGAAATGATACAATTCAAGAGAAGTACTAGACTGACCTGCTAAGAATTACACTGCTTACGCCAATCAAATGCAAAATATTATAATTCTTGCTTTTTTTTCTTTTACAGGTATTTTTCTAGCTGTATTTCCTATAAACAGAGTTAGTCTAGAAGTCTAGAAAGCTAGTCATCTAGAACTAGAAGGCTAGAGCTAGTCTTTAGTTTAGAAAGGAGGTGAACAAGAGATACATGATTGAAGTGTACAAAATGATACATAGTATGGATAAAATAGACAGGGAGAAGCTATTTTCCCTTTCCCAAAATAGTAGAACCAGAGGTCAACCAATGAAATTGAATACTGGACGAATCAGGACAGACAAAAGAATTTTTTTATTTTATTTTTTTACACAACATGTGGTTAAACTTTGAAATTTGCTACCACAAGATGTGATGCTGGCTACCAGTTTGGCTGGCTTCAAAAAAGGATTGCATCAAACCATGGTAGTCACGGGGATCAATAGCTATTAGCCTTGATAGCAGTGTGACTGCCTCTGAAGCCCTTCTGCTGGGAGGTTAGTAGACTTCCTTGTGCAGTTGGTTGGGCCACTGTGAGAACAGAGCGCTGAACTAAATGGTCCAGGGTTTGATTTAGCAGGGCACTGCTTATGTTCTTAATGAAGAACTTAACAAATAAAACAGGGTCGTAATGAATAGCAGAATATAACTGCAATCAGAAGGAAGATCGTAATTACGTCAGTAATGATGATATTGCACAGCTATATCCAGAACTCCATACTCACTTGTGCTTAGCAAATCAAGAAAGGTGAATAAACAGAATAGTTCCAAAGAAGAACCGGATACCAGTTCTTGCAAATTGATTACTTTAAAAGACTTAATACCTCTTATTTAGATCCATAAAGGAGTTTGAGCTTGGAATAAGCACCTTGCTCTGCAGAAATTCTTAACAGATAGCATTTTTTCAATTCCCATTTTAGCCTGGCATCTCCCATCTCATCCAGCTCTATTATTGTGCTGAGCTCAGTCACTTCTGCCCATTTTCCCTGTTGACATGGATAGAAAATTGAGCAATTACCCTTAAACGCCTTTCTCTTAGATCATCCAGATTGCTACATACACAATATTAAGTCCTAAATTGCCCCTGGCCAAAAGTGGTTCAACCAGGTCTGTCTTTTAGGAATTAAACAATTTTTGTTGCTTGCAAGAGTTTATTATTCCTAGGGTTGTCATCTACTAAATCCTATTAAAATAGGCTTCCCATGGTGCAAGCTAGTCTTTCTCTAAGTCTAGAAACAAGATAAAAACAAGACAGAAATAACCAAGTTATTTCATTAGTCACTCAGTGTGCATTGGTTTAAGTATGTTCATATACACACATGTACCACAAAGACATAGTGCACTGATTAGACTCTATTATTTCACATGTGCAAACTTTGCTAATGAATCTCATCTCTGAAACAATTTGAGTTCAGGAAAATCTTTTTTTTTTTAAATATGAAAGTTTCTAATTTTCATGATTGTAGAGCTGAATTAAAAAGTGCAATAGCAACATCTACAAAAAGTGTTGCATAAAAATTAGAATGTCAGTTATAACATAGATGCACAACGGAGTCTGCTAGTGCCATTGTTCTTTGTTCAAATATTTGAATAAGGATATATACACTTTAAAAAGTTGCATTAAAAAGAGCATATGCGCAGTACATACAGATTTGGGAAAGTCAATGCTATGCAGTAAAAGGGCAGAAAGGAGTAAGAAAGAATAAGCAAAAATTTTAAAGGAAGGCATGAGATAACAAAAGGGAAAATAGCTAAATGTAATTTACACCAACATCATTCACTGTATCTCTCTAACTCAATTGTTTTTACCAAGTCTATATATCACTTCATACATTGCCTTTTCTTCTTTACAGCTCACATCTACATCCACTCAACCACAACTTTTTAGGTCCTTCCTTCCACTTGACCCATTCAGTCTTCCTTCATATTTGTTTGCAATTCATCTATTCTCTCTATTATCATCCAACTACACCAACATATTTCTTTCACACTGGCTACTCAGTTTGCATTCCCATTCATTTAGTACCTATTAATTCTTGACCTCATGTCTTTTTATCACACATAATTCCCACTGTATTTATTTTTATGTTTCTCTTAACATATCAAACTCTTACTTCCATGTAAAAAATATGCAGAAGGGCCAGCCATTTTTGTTTCTTTCAACAAATTCATTTTTCACCATAGAGCCTACCTGTTTATCACCATTTGTATGTCTTAAAGTATTTTCATATATGTTCCAACCTTTAATAAACATTCTACCAAGATACACAAATTCATCTAGTTGCTCTAGTTTTTTACTAAACTTTGTAAAAGTTTATATTTGGGGAAGCAGAGTACAAGGATTTATTAAAGTGCTTGCCTTAAAAAACATAAATTAAAGAAAAACTGGGTACATTAGAAAAAGTTATAAATTAGTAATATACATTAATATCCTAATGGTTTTTAATATCAAAAAGCAAAAGAAATAGAACAAAATACATGACAACATACAACAATGAAACAATATCCGTTTTTAGAATCCCTATTCTTTATTTCTTGCTCAAAATATCCTTCCATCATTACTAAATTCTTCAGAACATAAAACATGATATTCAAAATACAATATGTAAAATCAGTCTAGCATAGTTTACATTAGATAGTCAACTTTTTTTCTTGATCACAGAGGGCTGCAAGGGGTGATGCAGAATGTCACAAAAGGTCATGGCCAAACTTTGCAGCCATTTAGGCTTAAGGAGTTTATTTAAAATAGAGTGCATTGAGTCTGCCACACAACTACAGTCTCAACTGAGCTGACCAGAGCAATGAATTTTTATGGTTGACAGGACAAACAGGTCATTGGCAAGGAAAATGACAATGAGGGCAGGGGTTATGAATAAGAGGAACTGATGAGGACAAGGACAAAGCAGTGGCAGAAGATGGAAAGAGTACAAGAATAAAGAGGCAGTGACAATTCACATTGAAAGGCCATAAGAAGATGTATAAGCAAATAGGCAGTGCCCACCCCGCTCTAAACTGTTGCTACTGATCTTCCACCCAGCAAGTGGGTAGGGGAGTGAACAAAACTCAATGATTTTGCCCTCCTTCAGTGGGAGGAAAACTCTGCCTCTTTGCCCTATAGTGAGAAGAGGTGGAATGTTCTGAATGTGAGTATGTGCAAAGGAGGTTTTGTGTGAGTATGAATATGTGCCTTTGTCAGTGTAGGTGAGGAAGAGAAGCTGGGTGAGTAGGTGTAAGAGTGTATGTGTATGTGCATGCATACTCACTGGAAGATGACCCCTTCAAGGCTAATTAGTGCCAGATTTGCTCTTAGCCTGAGAAGGTATCTCACCCCTGAGCTTTATGTACAAAACATACTACTATAGCTTATTCTACAAACCATTAATCTAAAAAGAAAAACATACAACTCCAAGAAGGGATAATGCACATGTAGATCATCCATCCATCCATCCATCCATCCATCCATCCATCCATCCATCCATCCATCCATCCATCCAATTTATATAGCCACCCATTTCACAACAGGCGACTCTGAGTGGCTTACAACAAAGCTAAAAGCAGTCAATAAATACATTAAAAATATAAAAATCAAAATAGAACAAGAATAAAAGGTTGTTAAAAATAAGGGAGCCACCTTACTAATTACCCCACTGCACAACAGTTTCACTTTGCTGTTCATAAGAACCAATCTTTAGGGTCCTGAAATGTAAAATAAGTTCTCCTTGTGAACTCATCTGATCAGTTCTGTATTTTGGAACAGATATGTTATTACTTAATCTTAATAGGCAAGTTTTAACTAATATTTTGTACTTAATAAACAGATATACTTGTATGCTATTAATCTAACACATCCATTCTGCACATGGGCAAAGCTCTAGTCACCTTAAATTAAATGTAGGAGCCACTGGCAAAAGGTATGTTCTTGCCTGTCAGATTTCCTACCAGCTTAGATAATATTTCTTTAGGCAAGTATCTTGAATACTTTTCTATTTGTTTCTTTTGGCTGAGTAAACTGTTCCTAGGTGTTGGAAACTCACAGAAATTGATATTAGGCATAGCAGAAAGAAACCAGGAAGGTGTGGAAAACTTAGTTGCCAGCAGAAAAATACCAGAGAAACAAACTAAAACTGCACATTGCCATTCTTTACAGACAGTCGTGATGCCAAATATTATAGGCTTGATATTTTAAATATAATTTTGGTACCTTTGCAGAATTGCTTCTGAGGAGGAGGAGTGCCAGAGACTCATAAACCAAGAAGCAGTGAGTTGCGAAAAACTCAGAAATGTCTCACAGTTTCTTGACCTTAGGGGCAAACTAGGGATCCACTAGGAAGCATGGGAATAATTAAAACTGAAATTTTAAAAAGGTTTATGTTATCCAAATACGTCATGGACTACTTCTGTATCCTCTTATACTAAACCTAAACCATCAATTATTTTTTCTTTTTTCCTTCTTCCACTTCAGAAAAATTGAAGGTATTGGTCTCCATCATATCTCTTACAACAAAAACAACTCAGCATTGCTGATTCTACAACTGAATTTTACATTAGAAAGATATCCTGAATTTCTCTGCTGCCCTCCAGACAGAAAAAAGTTGAATTCATGTATTGTAACCAGAATCGTCTGAAACATGAAGGCATCTTAACTTCAATTAAAAGGGGAAATTCGTACCTCCTCCATCATCTGCCTCTGTGCTCTGTCTTAGGCGGTGACTGGAAGATATTACAAAGTGAAATCAACATTAGAGACAATTGTATAAACAGCATCTTCTTAAGTTTTCCACTGAAGAACCCCTTACAGCATTTTTTTTTTGCTCTAGAAATAACTATAAACCTACAAATTATTAGAAAAGAGAGTGCATCTTTGCATATTGCATAGTGAGATGGGCAATGTATAAATTTGATTTATAAATAAATAAATAAATATCCTTTTGCACATATATCAGTCTTGGTCTTTCACAATTACACTGACTCCAATGAGGACCATATATGAAGGTTGAATGAAAAGTAATGCCTCCAACTCCATAAATTTAGCTTAAATAGGGATATTTTAATAAATTAAACAGGAAAAAATATCATTGAAATGAACGATTTTGTTACCTATGTAGAGATTTACTTCTGTACATAAGCACCACCATTTGCTACATGCTTCTGTCAATGGTGGACAAGCTTTTTAAAGCCATCATGAAAGAACTCCACACTTTGCCTCTTTAACCAGGTTCTCACAGTTCTATCCATCCTGTTCATATGAGTCAAACAGATGCCCACAAAGGTATTCCTTCAATTCTGGGAAAAAATGGAAGTTGCACCAAGATTGCTCTGAATGATGGATGGGATAAAACAATGAGATCCAACTTTGCAATTGCTTCTTCGGTGGCTTATGAGGTATGAGGCCTAGTGTTGTTGCAGCAAAATGTCCTTCTTGTGCTTTTGAACTCCACTTCATCATTGTTTCAAAGTTTTGAGTGTTTGATGAGTTGATAATGGTGCCAGATTCTTTTTTTAATATAATTTTTATTAAAACTTTTAAAAAAGAAGTAAAAAACGAATACAAACTAATATAAAGAAAAGAAGAAAAGATAAAAAGAAAGAAAGCAAAGAGAAAGAAAACAGTGCAAGAAAAGAAAAAAGTTAAAAGAAAAATAGAAAAGAAAGAAAAAAGATACAAAGCAATGGCTTCCGATATTCTTCACAACAGTTATAAATATAATTTTATTTTAAACATTCTCTCTAAATACTCTTCTTTCTATAATCTATCCTATCTAATCATCAAAACCATAAATCACAAATTCATTTTTCCATTTTTACGCAAAAAGTCCATAAGAGGTTTTTAGTCACCAATAAATGTAGATAGTGTCTTTTCTCTAATCAAATAAGTTAGTTTATCTATCTCAGCAAAATCTGTCAATTTCACCAACCGTTCCTCCATAGTGGGTAGTGTTGAATCTTTCCATCTCTGAGCATATAATAACCTTGCCACAATAATCATATACTGAAATAATCATCCATGGCTTTTTTCTAACTGTTCATCCATCAATACTAAAAGGAAAAGTTCTGACTTCAATTGAATATTAATTTTTAAAATCTTCTGTGTCAAAGCATGTATTTGAATCCTATTTTTTTTTAGCTTTTTGACTTGTCCACCAAGCATGATAAAATGTCCCTTCATGTTGTGTTAATGGTGCCAGATTCAAGGAAATCTATCTGGACATCTGCGTCCTAAATAATTATAACCATGAGTTTTCCTACCAAAGCCTGTGTTTTGAATTTTTTTTCACAGATGAAGCTTTGTGATGATATTCCATGGAATGATGTTTCATTTCTGGGTCATGATGAACCTATGTTTCACTAGATGTCACAATGCCATGAAAAAATTCCCCAGTTTCATTCTTATAGCATGACAACAATTGCTGGCAAATTTTGACTCCTGAAGTTTTCAACAGGATGTGAGGAACACATTTGCACAAACCTTCCAATATTGAATAACATCAATAATCCACACATTCCTATGAAATGCCAAGCTTGACAGCAGTTTCCCTTTGAATGATCTGCCAATTGTCCTTAATCAGTTCATCAACCTTCCTGCCTTCCTTCCTTTTTTTTGATACATTTCTATTAAGGAGTTTGATTACAATAGTAACAACTAATACAAATTAAACTTAAAGAAGGAAAAAGAATAGAAAGAATAAAAAGTACAAGAAAAAATAGAAAGAATAGAAAAGAAAGAATACAATAAAGCAAAAGCAAAAGAAATATATAAAGAAGTTACTTCCAACCTTCATTACAACAAGTATGGACAAATTTAGTAACTCCACCCCCATAAGGTTACAAACAGATATCTCTTCATTTCATATCCCATCCCTTGTCTATAAACAAATCCATAAAACATCAACTTTTCAATACTGGTGTCAGCAAAAAGTCTGTAAAGGATTGCCATAACTTTGCAAAAAAATGTCTTATTTTAACCTTGATCAAATAAACCAAATTTATATTCCTTCCTTTTATTTCTAACAGTCTTAATCTTTACTTCATTCAAATATTGTCATACGATTTGATTTCTCTTCAGTTCTTCTTTATTCCATCACACAGACTTCTTCAAAGTGTTTAACAAGCCTCTTTTGTAGATCCAATAAGAAAACATTTTCCAGGTCATTCTCTTGGTTTGTCATTTGTATTTCCCCTTTAATTTTTAAAACTTCAGCCACTTTCTTCTGTATATCCAATAAAGCATCCTTTTCCAAATCATTCTCTTGGCCTATAATTTGTAGTTTTACTGTCAGGACTCATAGCAGAGATTGTAATGCAACGCGTAGAAGCTATAGCACTTCCCCACATACAACCTAAAGTATGGATCTGGTATGTAGATGACACATTTGTTATAATAAAAAAGGAACAACTAGAGAAGACACATGAAACCATCAACAACATCTTCAAAGGAATAAAATTCACCAGAGAGGAAGAAAACAACAACACAAAGGAACAACTAGAGAAGACACATGAAACCATCAACAACATCTTCAAAGGAATAAAATTCACCAGAGAGGAAGAAAACAACAACACACTACTCTTCCTGGATATCCTCATCAGCAGAGGAAACAACAGTAAATTAGAAACCCAGGTTTATCGGAAGACAACCCACAACAATCAAGTACTCCATTACCAAAGTAACAACCCAAGCTCCCACAAGAGGAGCTGTGTAAGAACATTATTGAAGGAAGCACAAATGCATTGCAGCAACCCAGAACAACAGAAAAAGGAAAAAGACCACCTATACAACATCTTCTAACAAAATGGATATCCACGCAACTTTATCAAAAAGTGCATGACCACTCAACCTACTACAACACAAGCTATGAAAAGGATCACACTGCCATACATCAGAAACATCTCAGAAACCACCAACAGACTATTACAACCACATGGCATCTCCATGGCACACAAACCAACGAAAGCTCTCCAAAATATCTTAAGTAAACCAAAAGAGCCGGTAGCACAAGAAGAAAAAGCAGGAGTTATCTACAACATACAATGTAAGGACTGTAACAAACACTATGTAGGACAGACAGGCAGAAGTCTAGCAGAGTGCATCCACGAGCACCAACTAGCAGTCAGA